TGAGACTTTATGTAGTATAACTGAGAGCATTCAATTTGTTCTGCCATATACATCCTTGTTCTACAAACTCTCCCACTGTTACTATACTGTTATTCATGAAACTGCTTGGTGAGTGACCATAGCAGAGCATGCATACACCCTTCAGAAGTTGAATATCAAATGTTCTACAGTTTCCTAGGGAAAAGTAGAAAAACAGAAAGAGAGAATTCAAGATTGATCCTGAAACCAAAATCTAAATCCCTATACACATATGATTAGAGTTCAAAAACTTCTTATCCATTATCACTCTCTTAGAGCTGTCAATTTAGGAATATTTAATATTAGAAAACTAAAATTTAAAAATGATTCACCAAAGACACTGGGTATTTAAGCCATTTCACCTGTTCTGAATGCAGGAAAATGTCCTACCCAATGTCCATTACCAGTAGAAGAAATGAGTTGTATTTTCTTCCTACAGCAATGACCACAGCCTGAGTGACAAAAAGGGAAACGCAGGAATTCTAATACACAAAGAAGTTACACTTTCCAGCATCCAGAGGTGCCCAATATGCATGCTTCTATTCCATAAGACTGGAACCAAAGTCATTTGCCATACTAAGGAACCTCTTAAAAATTTGAATGTTTAAAAAATGACCTTAGCAAAGTGACAAACCTACTTTCTTCTCCATGATTTTTTAACCTCCTTTTCCTTCTCTTCACTCTCCACACTATACACCCACACCCCCCTCACACATAGACAGTCATTTATATATACACTAAGTCTCTGAACTAAATAAACCAGGATGCCAAGGAATGAATCTTCACCTTTCAATTTAAAATATTTAAGAGATTCCTGACATCACTGACTCTACAAAATTCTTCTGTAAACAGCAAAGACATCCTCCACTTTTCCTCCTCAAATTTTCATACAAAACCACAAAATTCATATAACTGATTTCCTGACCAACATCAGAGGACTGGTAAATAATTATATACAATCTGGGCAAGATGATCTCTGCAATAAAGAATTGCCTTCAATTATCTAGATTAATGTTCCATTCCCTTAGCCTTACCTGCCTAACTGCATTTAAAGTTACATTGTTGGTTTCCAGAGCCAACAATATTCAGATGTGCCTAGGTTTGCACACTAATGCAAAATATGGCCCCAAATCAGCACCAAACTTTAAGAGCTCAACAATAAATCCACATATAAATGATGGCTGGGCTACCATGGAAGGAGAAGGGGAATATTAAGGAGCCTACAAAGTAGAAACTCTTGTATTATTTTTTGCAGGTAAATTATGTGAGTGATCTTAGCTCCCCAACTAGGCTATGAATTTTCTGAGTGCAGAAGCTACATCTTATATTTATTTGGGATTCCCATGGTACCTGCCACAAAGCTGAGCACACATCAGATAGTCAAACAATTTGATCTAACGCCATGATGATAAACTTTAAAGTGCAATGGAGCCCTGTGAGGAAAGCAGTTCTGGTTCCTCTATAATGCTAATGTAAGCCCCACAACTGATTCTATAGCTAATGAAGGGAATGGGTTTGTCACAAGATAGAACAGCAGAGGAACCTAATGCGTAGAGACCATTAATCCCACTATGGAGAGTAGGAACATAACATATGCTCAGAAAAAAAAGATGTTATCTTAACTTGAAATGACCTGTTTACTTGTCTGTTTCCCGGTAAGCTCCCTGGGGTGAAGGATCAAGTGTTTTATTTTTGTATCCTCAGTAAGTACTACAGCACCTAGCACATTAATAGTGTACTTTGAATGCTACTAGGTTGAATTAATAGACAATAAAATAATTGTTTAAAGAAATAATATGAAGAAAAAATAAGTGACATGAGATCTAATACTGAGATTTCCATAGAATCTTACTTATCACACATTGTAGCACTTATTGCTATAAGTGTTTAATAAATGTTGCTTTCTGGGATTAATTCTTTAATTAATGAGGAACATATAAAGAAAAGGTAGGAAATATATCAGTATATTACTATCGTAGGGAAGGTGAATATCCGATAGTACCATTTATCACTCCACACAAATCACCTATTTGATTGCTTGTGTTCCCCATTAGAATGTGCATTCCTTGAAATCCGAGACCATCTTAATATCTCTAACACTAGACACTAGAGCAGAATCTTACAAAGAGTAGACACTCAACAAATATTAGTTGAATGTATGAATCAATCAATCATTCCTGCTCTTCTATAGAGTTCACTGTACCTCAAGTATTCTACCCAATCCACATTGAGGGGCCTCTGGTATGGAAAGAAAAAGAGAAGTGTCCTATTCAGAGGGCACCTGTGTGCCAGGACTTTTCTTCATGCAGGACTTTGTGACAAATGCAGGTTAAATTGCCCGATTCATGCATGGCTGTGAGTGGATCTCTCCCTTTTCTGAATGGGTTTGTCAACTGAACTCTCCAGGACCACATATTAAAAATACACTTACCCTCACTGTGTCTAGTATACACTGTCTTAGACTGACTAGTCCTAGATATGAAATCTGTATGATTTTGTTAAATAAGAAGAGCATATGGCTTTGTAGTCAGGGGTAAGATCAGAATTCAGACATTCAATGGCTTTTTAAAGAAGATTTATTTATTTATTCATTTGTTTGTTTTTAGAGGAGAAGGAGGGAGAAAGAGAGGGAGAGGAAAATCAATGTGTGGTTGCATCTTGCATGCCCCCTTCTGGGGACCTGGCCCACAACTCAAGCATGTGCCCTACACTGGGAATTAAAATGGCAACAATTTGCTTCACAGGCCTGGGCTCAATCCACTGAGCCACACCAGCTAGGGCCAATGGCTTCTCTAAATAACTGAAGCGATACTTTGTTTCATTCTGCCATAGGAGAATTTCAGAAAAAATACCAAAATCTTAGGTCAATCATGCAGACACAGTCATATGTCTCCTGCACCATCCAAGTATCTCATACACACTTAGGCTCATGTTTCCCTAGTGCCTTGATATTATTATTGCATACATAATAACTAAGCCCTCAGGATTCAATCCTTTTGTCAATCTCCCCAGGCAACAACAGTCAGTACCTAGACCCACAACCTTTTACCTCCACTGTTTAAATATCCAACATAAGTACTCTAAACACACCACTTTGTAGGTCTTAACCTGTATAGAACCAGCCTAAGTTCCTCTTTGGTGATACATGCCTAGGGAGTCACACTTAGGTATACACGCCATCACAACAGTGATTCTCCAATTTTTGTTCTATTCAGAGGGCACCTGCGTGCCAGACACTTTACATTGTGCAATGTCATATTATTCCTTGGAGCAACCATGCATGGTAGATGTACCCATTTTGTAGATGAGGAAACAGAGACTCAGAGGGATTCCATAGCAAGAGGTGTCCCCCAGACTCAGAATCATGGCCTGATCCTACTACATAGCACTATCTCTCCCTCTGCATTGCTGAACTCTTGGTGGTCCAAAAATGTCTATGATCTAGTCCCTAGTTCTATTCACTGACATCATAATTGTAACTGAACCTACCTAGCATAATATTGGATTTTCAATAAATCTTTATTTATATATTTATAGTTTGAAACTATTGGTATTTTCTTGCTGGTAGAATATTGTCAGTTTCTTATTAAAAGCACTGCTACTTGGTCCCATTAATTCTAAAGAGAATTATTTTTCAGAAACTAGGAGAAGCAATTGACTCAAATGGTCCTAAAATCCTTTGCCTTTTGAAATTAATACAAATACTATTAGGCCATTTTATGTGCATCATAGCCCAGGTATGTCAGGTTGAATTATTTACAAGGCAAGAAGGTGTCACTGAAACAACACCTGCCAGGGAATTATAGAGCCCTGTGATATAGTTCTCGTTCTCTCTTTCTCTTTTTCTCTCTCTCTCTTTCTCCCCCCTCCCCCCTCTCTCCCCCCCTCTCTCCCTGCCCCCCCCCCCCCCCCGCCCTTCTCCCTCTCCCACCCTCCCTCACTCTCTGTGAGTCTCAACAAGTTCCATTGAACCTCTGGACCTCTATTTCATCATCTAACAAAAGGCATTATATCAAGATACTTGATTGTGAGAATCAAAGGACACAATGGTTGTAAAGGTCCTTCAATAAATGTTGAAGTACTCTCCAGATGTGCTGTATTCCTTTTATTCGTGGCCTGGAAATGGGCATATGTCTCCCAGTGCATCAAATTTTCAACCAAAGAGGGACTTAAGCAATTCATGGAAAAATAAAATCAAATTAAAAACTGTTATTTATAGCCTTTTACTCAGCCACCCACGGATCATCATACACATTTTCAGCCCACTACCCTAGATATTTCAATAGACAGCAAACATTGGAACTTATAGTGTTTTTTTTTTAATGTTTCCATTTGAAAACATTCATTCTCAGTAAAGGGAAACAGAGCTAATTCAAGTGCATAGTTAATTCCTAAAATTTTCATTATTAGTGACAGTTTTAAGTTCTTTGTTAAATGACACCATAAGAACTGCCAGGAAACAGGAAAGTGGCTTTTTTAATTTTTTTAGCCTCCCCTTAACCAGATCATCCATAATTTTGGCAAAGTATGCATACGACCAAAGAAAAAGCAAAAAAAAAGGGGGCTTTAAAAGGCTGAATCACTCTCATACTGGGAAATTGGCCCTTGAGCATTCTAGGCTTCATCCATCTTTAACACTATTGCTGACAATTTTCCTGCCACTTTAACTGGAATGTGGGTACCACTGGCTGGCAAGCTTGCCCTATTTGTAACAGGTGGAGCAAATTCATACTATGCCAGAATACCATATAGGGATTTCAAAGGCTCAAACCACTTGGGCTCCCACTCCCAACATCCACCCCTACAAAGGCCCATTACGTTGGGTTACCCTCTGACCCAAGAAGCACTGGTAGCAAGCCTTGATTATGGAAATGGGCTTAGGCAGAGAATTTCTCCCTATTCCTGCCAGGGAATGTGCCAGTGTAGAGGCCTATGAGGAAGAGTTTTGGGCGGATCTCACAGAGCCGCTTAGCGGCACTCACCTCAGGCAGAGGTACACCATTGATTATCAGGTCTGGCTGCTGGGGGCCCTGGCTGTTGAAAGAGTGATGATAGATGTTGGCACTGGTATTGCGGGTATTCTGGTTCTCCATGTTCAAGAAAGTGCTCTCAGAGCGACGGCAGCCCAGGGGCAATGTCTGCTGGTGGTAGTCGAAATAGTTGAGGGAGGAGGTCAGGGAGGAGCAACTGACAACATTCATCTTGTCTGTCTCCTCCACATCCCGGGGTACCAGGCGGATGTCATTCTTACTGATTTTTTTCTTCTTGCTTGATTTCTTTTGATGCCCATAGGAGTACTCAGCGATCCTATGTGACAGAAAAGGCAGAATGTATCGCTAACGCTCTCCCAAACCATGCATTGATTAATAAACATTAAGCACCCCAGAGGTTGCACTCCATCTCTGCTCCAGCAGAATTCTTATTCAGGTGCATTACATCATCGGATTTCTCCCTGTGATTTTTCACATTTGAAAACAAGCCGAGAGCCATAAAGTTTTCACTTTAAACATAGTAACCACTCACTCCCTGCCCCCAGAAAAAAATTTTCTGTACTTTGGATTTGAAATTTTCATTATGAGTGGCCATTCAGCAAGAGTGGGGGGATGGGGAAAGTTGAGCCTATGGGAGAGAAAGCATGAAAATGCTCAAATCTGAAGCTTCCCTGGAATCCAAAGGAACTTCTGGGTGAAATAAGAAGCAAGTCCTAATTAAACCAAGTAAGAGGTAGGAGGAAATAAAAAAGAACACTCTAACCAGTTCCTCCAGGCATTTGCCATGTGGCCAACACCCTCAATCGGGTTACTCTATTGATTGATCTGATGAGTTTAGGACTGGGGCAAGAGACCAGACTCTGTCCTTTGACACATTCTGGGCTTCTTTCCTCCACATCTCCTTCTCTCTGCCATAGCCCTGCTCCCTTCCAATCTCCACCCCACCCTCCCTCTCCTGAAGAAATCTGATAGCCAAACCCATTTCAAGGAGGGGAAATACCACTTAACCTCTTTCCCCTTAGGCTCACTTTCTCCTCAGCCTTTTTGTCTTGCTCCTCACTAATGGGAGAAACCCAGAGGCAATGCAGGCACTCTCTGTTTTGTCCTTTTATAAAACAGCCCAGGAGACAAGTGATGGTTAAACAATTACTGCAAAGGAATTTAAAGGTTAGTGTATTCAGCATCCTTCTCCATTCAGGTATACCTACCAGCAGCTGTGCTGCAACTGGAACATAAAGAGCTCAATTTAATTAACACTGACACAGACCCAGCAATGTGCAACCAAAGACACCAAGCATTAAGAGACTTGTCAAAAGAAATTCATTAAAATGTAGCCAGATTATCAAAATCATTTATTATTTTGTATACAGTGGTTCAGCCTATTGTTCGGAAATTCAATTTCTGGGCAATAATTAGCAAAACAATAGGGTTAATAAATAACACAGGTTGTGCCTGTATTCTCACTTGACAAAGCTAATGGTCTGAATACAAAAAGGGAGCCCAATTCAAGCAGCAATTGCAGATCATCTTGCAAGTCTCATAAAAGTGTGCATTTGAGGGAGAGGCTCTGCAGATGCTCAGAATGTTAAACCTCTGCCTAGTAAATGGAAAGACAAGCTCTTCAACTTCAGATTTCTAAAAAGTCTGAGAAGACAGAGAGATTACATATCTTCAAAGGCAAATTCTTGCTTTTTCCCAGGATCTTCCAAGAGCTGAGCAGCTTGTGCTCCCCTCACCCTTTGTCTCTGTGTTCAGGCCTATTTGCAGTGATGGCAAGCTGATGCTATTGGGGTTTAGGATCAGATAAAATCCCAAACACCTCAGGACCAGGGTCGATTTTCTTGTCTAGTATGTTTACAGAATCAATGGGAGGTTCTAATCATTTTGTTTACCCATGATGGGTAAATTTGGCAATGTGTCATCCAATTATTTAGCTGAGGCATTCATTGGGCAGGCTTGTCTATATTGACCAATTATTTAACTAAACTGTACTTCATGAATCCAAAACCATTACAGGGAACAGAGCTCTTCACAAAATTCACATGTGAGTCAAATTGGAAAGCACCGAGACTTTTTTTTTTCTTCAATTCAAATGCTCCCCTCCCTGTTTAATGATTTTCCTGGCAAGCTCTGGGAAAGAACTCTCGCTTCTAGCCATACATCACCAATAGGTGGCAAAGACTTCAATATCTGTATTTCAGGCTGAGTTCTTCTTCATCAAGGAAAAGATCTTAAGCATTTACTTTATGCTCAGAAAATAACTTAAAAAGAGCCCCCTTTATCATTATCTCTGTATAATAAAATTTTATAGACAGCACAGTCTTCTCCTATAAAAGTCACCACTAGCAGTTGCAGGTTTCAAAGGTAACAGCAATATTAATTTCCATGTCTCCATCTAAAATGGTTTGGAACTGAAGGAAAGAAAAGTCATTGCCATTTCAGTAGTAACAGGATTAGAGCATTTATGAGGCATTGCAGCTGCTCTTTTGTGGCACCTGATTGATATTCATGTGTGGTTAGCATTTGTCTACTAACTTGTGTAATGCAGAGAATAGTAAAAGGGAAACAATAACTGCATGGATGTTACATATTCAGAGGGCTCTGATTCACAGAAGTGTGCATTTCAGATGTGTAAAATAGAAATCAGACCTGCAGGAACATATTTTGACTCATTAACATGCAAGCACAGATGGCACAAAAGATGCACTTGATGTGTAGGTGTGTTGAAAGCACACACACACCTTGGTTAGAAATAGCAGCATCATTTCATTTTCAGCAAACTAAAGAAACAACTTTTTTGCCACCATTTCAATGAGACGCTGATGGAAAAAATTAAATGTATAATCATAAACTGAGTTCTAGAAACACTTAGATTTGTTCTAATTGTAAGGAAGGGTTTCAGCAAGACCCTCTAATGTGCTTATCAAGAAATCTTTTTTTAAAAAAAGTATGTTATTCCAGTTTCCACATTTTGTCTCTCTCTCTCTCTCTCTCTCTCTCTCTCACACACACACACACACACACACACACACACACACACACACGAACATCCTGCTTATACTTCAAAGGAAACTAACACAATAGTTCATAGTGACATCCACTGGTAGGGAGCAGATCTTAATACTACAACCAGTCCCACATTAGAGGAAAGCACCACCAACTCCAGAAGTTTTCTATTTTTACAAAAACATCTAGATGCAAAGTCTTGTCCCTCATGGGAATGTTTGATCTCCACCCTAGCAAACAACCAGATATCTGAAAACATACAAATGACTATTAGAATTTCATTTTACATTGCCAGATATTTGGGAATTTGATACAAAACAAGAAAACACTTATCACCTGTTTCTCCACCCATTCCTATTTTCTCTTCTCCCCAACTCTCTGTTTCCTACCTTAGGCTTCCATTCACAGGCTTTCTTCACACTTTATCTCTACAACGTGACAGGGCAGCTGCCAGCACTCCCCCTCCTTTCAATATCTGTCTCCAAAACACTGTGCCCAAGAAATCAAGTTGTACTATCAGAAATCAAGTTGTGGTTCCACTGAATCAATCTCTTTCAATCTCTCTCTATCTCTCCCTCCCTCCCTCTCTCTGTAACCTTATATTTTTCTGCCACAACTTTCATGGAGACAGCTGTACAAATTTTAAAATTATTGCTTTTCTGCTCATCATGATTATGTGACAGAATCCACTGAACAGTAAATGATTATCTTCCAGCATATTGTCAGATCAAAAGAATTGATCAACGTGGACTGCCACAAACTTACCCTCCTCCACAAAGAAGTGATATAGGCACCATTCATGCATTTAAGTAGGAAACAAAAGCAGTGGGATTTTCACACAGCAACACAGATACACCTTAATTCATCCAAGACAAAAGAATAGAAAAGTTGGCTCTACCTGCAGTTGTAGGTCCGGATCTCTTTATTGTCTCGTTTGCACTTGATTGCCACGAAGATCATAGTGACAAAGAGGATGCCCGCAATGGATCCCAGAGCAATAATGAAAATCAGGGACAAGTTCACTGAGCTCATTGACTCCTGGGCATCGAGAGCAGGGGACAGGTAGATTAGGATGAGCGCAGAGGAGGAGAGAGATGTCTTGCCGTGGTCGTGGGCCACCACAATAAGTTCATAGGAAGCCTTGGAGCTCTCGCTGAATGTGCGAGTGGTTCTGACCTCGCCGTTGACCTGGTCTATTTCAAAGAAGCCGCGATCTCCCTCGGTCATGTCGTAGGTGACACGGCCATTCTCGCCTTCGTCATAGTCGTCTGCTTTGAGGACAGTCACCAGATAGCCTATGCCGGAGTTGCGGGGGATGTATACTTCAGCAGTGCCATTGATCAGTGGTGGGGCCGTGATGACTGGGGTATTGTCATTAACATCGAGAATGATGACCCGAACCGTGGCATTGCTCTGCAGGGAGGGCAGGCCGCCGTCCTTGGCCAGAACCTTGAATTCAAATGCTTTTGTCTGCTCGTGGTTGAAGGACCGCAGCGCGTAGATGTCGCCGGAGTTGGGGTTGATGGAGACGTAGGTGAAGACAGGCATGTCTCGCACCTGCGATGGCACTATCTGGTAGGAGACACTGCCGTTGAGACCCAAATCTGGATCTCGGGCAGAAACAGAGAGAAGATAGGCGCCAGGCGTGTTGTTCTCCTGCACAATTACCTGGTAATAAGGCTTGGAGAAGTGCGGGTGGTTGTCGTTCTCATCAGTGATGCGCACAGTAAAGGACTTAGCACTCTGCAGCATAGGCATTCCGCCGTCGCGCGCCTGGATCGTGAGGTTGTACTGATCATGCTGCTCTCTGTCCAGCCGTCCGTCCACCAGGATAGTGGAGAAGCTCTCGTACTCTTGCAGCCGAAAGGGCACATTGCCCAGCAAACGGCACTGCACTCGCCCATTGAGGCCAGAATCGCGATCAGACACCCTCACCAACGCAATCACATAGCCCGGGGGGGCGCTCTCGCTCACCTCTACCAGCTCGCTGTTGACAGACAGTAGGTTGATAACCGGCGGGTTGTCGTTGGTATCCAGAACACTGACGGTGACCTTGCAGTGTGCCGGGATAGAGTTGGGTCCCAGATCCTTGGCCTGCACGTCCAGTTCGTACACATGGCCCTCTTCATAGTCTAGGGCCCCAGTGACCGTGACGAGGCCACTGTGGGGGTCAATCTGAAAGAGCTCACGAGTGTGGTCATTGACGTAGCCATAGAAGGAGTAAACCACCTGGCCGTTGGTGCCCTCATCTGGGTCGCTGGCATTGAGGCGGATGACAGGTGTGTTTGGAGGTGAGTTCTCTGGCACACTCACCACATAGGTGGACTCGCCAAATACTGGGTTGTTGTCATTGGAGTCGGTCACCTTGATGCTGAGGCCAACAGTGCCCAAGTGTGGCGGGTCGCCTCCGTCGAGAGCAGTGATTCGAAAGCTGTAGTGTGACTGTGTCTCACGGTCCAGGCTTTTCTCTACCACGAGTTCAGCAAAGCGTGAGCCATCGCCCCGCGTCTTGATCTCCAGGCCAAACAGCTCATTAGGTGTGAGCTCGTATGTCTGCACGCCGAAACTGCCAGAATCCGGATCGTAGGCGCTGTCTAGAGGGATGCGTGTGCCCGGGCTGGCCGCCTCTGAGATTTCCAGCTCTATCTGTGCCGCAGGGAAGCTGGGCGCATTGTCGTTCAAGTCCTTGATCTCCACCTTAATTACGCATATCTCCATTGAGCTGGACATGACCTCAAGTGAGATGATGCATTTGGAGCTCTGGCGGCACAGCAGGTCGCGGTCGATCTTCTGCTTGGTGACCAGCAGGCCCGAGCTGGGATTGATGTCTACCAGGTGCGGAGCCGAGTTGGACACCACACGGAAAGCAGAGGCTTGCCGTGGATCCAGAGCAAAGCCCGCTTCGCGGGCGTCCTTGGCTACGTTGGCGATCACCGTCCCGGCGCGCTGCTCCTCTTCTACGGAGTACTTCAGGTTAATGAGGGCGGCCGCCTGCGTCCATAGTACAGCCAACAGCAGCAGCACCGGCAGCAGGAGCGACTCCATGGCTGCGCGGGGCTCTGCCTGGCCTCGCCTCTCCACACCCCTCCGAGGCCGACGCCGCCGGCGCTCCAGCTTCCTTCTGTCTCGGGTCGCCTGTTGCTCGCGCCCCGAGGCCCCGGAGGCCACGGGAAGAGTCCCACCCAAGGAGGCCCGGCGGCGCGGGGGAGATACCCGCGCTGGATCCAATGTTGGGGTTTCGGCAGACTCGGCGGGGACTCGCTGGAGGCCCGGGGGCTCCGCGGGGCCGAGGGAGAGCCGCACGGCCCGGAGCCCCCTTCCTCCAGCCCGGCTACTCAGTGTTCCCCCTTCAGAGTTAACCAGGCGCAACTGGCCGCAGCGGCGCAGGGCTGCGGGTCGGATGGCCTCAGAGCGGCCGGGTTGACTCGCGGTTGTGTTTCGATCGCTCTTGGGGCGAAGGCGGGGAAGGCGGTGAGAGTGCAGCCTCTCGGGCACTGCCCTGCCCGCCGCAGCGCACCGGCACTGGGGCTGGCTAGCGCGTTTTCTGCGCACCTGGCATGCGCAAGGACCTCGCCGCAGCGCTCCTGGCTTACTGCGGGGAGGGGACCCGCCTGGAACACGTCCTTCGGGATCTGAAGGGGCCACAGCGGCCTTTTTGAGGCCGGATGGGAAGAAAGGGGGATCGCTGGCTCGAGTTTGAGTTGCTGTCAAGCGCCACAGGCTCCCAAATATCTGGCTGAGCCGTTTGGCAGTATCAGGGCCGGCAGAGGAAGGGGGAGGGGAGAGAGGCAGCTGAGACGACAGCACGCTTCCTCGAGTTGAGGTTGGCTTCGGAAGGCTTGGGGGATGCGTCTGTCCAGGATCTGAGGTGGGTTCAGAGTCCCCACCACAGAGCAGTTGGACTGTGGGCGTTTGCGTCTCAGAAATCAAAGTTACTAACGCAGCCCGACCCTCCACATCAAGTTTGTGAAATCCGGGCTTTGGCAATTTGTCCAAGAAAATCAAAGTACCGGCCTTTCTAGTGGCCCAAGAGGGAAGCGGGAAATGGGAAGAAAAGGGGAAAGGACAACAGTACCGGCCAGGAGAGGCGGGGCCGCCGCCGCGGTTGCCGGGGGCTTCTCCTTCTCCCTGGATCTAGGGCTGGGGTGTCGCTCCAAGGGCTGCCGCCATGGGAGAAAGCCCTCCTAGCTCAGTCGCATGTCGCTGGGGTCCGCCTCAGCAGCTGCCACGGTAGACGGTTAGGTCGCGGACAAAGTTTACTTGCAGGAGCATCTCGATTCCATCTTCTGGGAGAGGCTCTGGCCACGTTGCGTCGGGATCCTTCCCTCTCGGGCGCTTTTGCACTTGGATGGTCTGTCTCGCTCTCTCTGTCTCAGGTGGTGTGTGAATGTGTGAGGAGGGGGCGAGTGAGTGTGTGATGTGGGTAGTGTGAGTGTGGAGTGTGAGCAGCAGGAGTAGGAGGTTTGCCGGAATGCCGAGGAGAGCAACGCGCCAAGGGTCAGCGGAGGGCTAGCGAGGGGGGTGCCAGTGATCCCTGGGCAAGCCGGGCATGGTGCTCAGGAGCTTTGCTGCCGTCTTCGCCCACTCGTCTGTCTCCCCGATGCGCCAGCCGCCGCCGCTACGGCTGCTGCTGCTGCTGCTGCTCCCGTTGCCGCAAACTACTGGCGTTGGAGTCTGTAGAGAGCCGTAGAAAGCCCGAGCCTGCGGAGCCTGGCTACGCCAGGCTCCGACCAATCAGCGCACCGCCCAGCGGGCTTCGGAATTGGGGCGGGGCCAAGGTGCGGGGATCAGGGAGGGGCGGGGCCAGCTGGAAACTTACGTACTGATTGGACGAAGTGATACTCTGGCTGGCAGAGCCCTGGCAGGAGTCTTGGGAGGCCTGGTGAGCAGGCCTGGCTGGGGCAAGAGGGCAAGGTGGAGCTGGGTGTGCTAGCGCTGCGGCTGAACCTTCCCAGGAACTGCGCACCTCTCGTGTATGTAGAGATTGCAGGAAGGATGAGGAGGATTTCATTCTCTTGGCATGTTTATCTCCCTCTCATATCTTCATATCTTGAATATCACATTCATATTCTCTCTCCCCCTCCCTCTCTTTCCCCTCCCCCCCGTTCCTCTCCTTCCTTCTTTGTCTCGATGCCCTGGGTTTGTGTGTGTTTCCCTGTCTTCCTTTCTTCTCTTTCCCGGGTAGTAGAAGGAAAAAAAGGAAAGAGAAAGGGCCCTCGAGGCGGTCATTCTTCTGGCTTTTGGCCAGGAAGTCTTCACTTCAAGTGAGAATCACGGCAGTCATCTTCCTGAACTGTCAACCCCATCCCTCCTTCCTGGGCAGATGCAGCACTTCCTCCCACCCCAGCAGGGCCCCAGGCCCGGTTCTCTTAGCTCTAGCCTGTCCCTTGTTAATCAGATGGGTTCTGTGGCGCAGAAACTGAACCGCAGAGAGCGCTTCACACATTTCATTAACCCTCACGCCACCCTGGTGGAGAATTTAGCTCCCTATAAATAAACTACGTTTGAGAGAAGCTAGTAGAGCGGACGTCGCCGCGCTACACCAGTAGAGCCTAGACCCCGGAGGGAGCTGCGGGTCTGGCGGCTTGTCTGCGTAGGTCGCCCGCAGCTGGAGTCTGTGCCGGTGTGCGGAGCGCCCCAACCTCCCCGTGGGGCCTCAGTCCCAGGGGGCTGCTAGCTTCGCTCAGGCGGTGGAGTGCGGGGCGGCGGGGGGAGCGGGGGACGACGGCGACTGCAGGGTTTGCCAATGCTGACAAGCGGGAGGCCGGCGTGGCTCGGCTGATAGCAAACTCTGCTCGCGTTCCATACTGAAGGCGCCCTGGAGACAGATGGGGATTCCTCCCCGCCTGGTTCTGAGGCTCTTAATTAAGGCCGCTGGCGGGAAAAAGAAAAATCACCTGGTTGAACAAGTTGTTTCTTTGTTTTTCAGATTGGAGGTGGAAGAGACCGGCTGCTGAATTCACAGTTCTTAGAAGAGTAAACCTCCCTTCGGCGTGAATCGCCTCATATATTTGGGAGTCTTCGTTGAGCAAATTCATAATTAACCTAGCAGCACTGTCCCAAGCCTGTGAGCTTAAAATGAGACTCACTTTGCCCTTTAAAAAAATTAAACAAGAAAATTAAAGGGTATTCGGACACATTATAGGTTTTCTCAAAACTGCCGTCTTCTTACAGATGCTTTAAAAAAATTTATCCGTCCAAGAGGGGCTACTGTAGCAGCCTTTACCTTGGCGGGGGAAGGTAGCTTCTTCCTACAGCGAGAGATTATTTCGGGATTGATGTTAAAACCCTTTGGAGGCCCATCGAAGACCTAGGAGAGGGCGCAGGGAGCCTAATTCGCTTTCCGCGTGGAGGTCGTTTCCCTCTTTTCCATTAGGATACAATTCAGCCCAGAACATCACGGAGAAAAATCGAAGCATCCGCAATGAATATCATTTAATTTTAGTCACTTAGAGATGCGGATGGACATCACAGTTGTGTCTGGAGGGAGCCCCGTAGCCCGTCCAGTTTTCTGCCGACCCTGTTGGGGGAAAAAATGGACGAGTAATGAAGGAGAGTGACATGTCAGGTAGCGTGGGAGCACCTCGCGGACTTCGCAAAGAGAAAGGCTCCAATTTGATTTATCACAGTTACTTACCTTTGATGTCGACGAATGGGAATGAAGTGCGTTTTGGTCTAATTAAAAAGGCCTAAGAAAACATTAGAGATGGGTTTGCTATCTGATCACGGGATGTGAGTTCGGCGTTTAGCAGCTTTCTAAAATATTGCTTGGACTATTTAAACAGAATAATTAGCAGGATGCTGAAATGTTTGCATGCTATGCTTAGAGGCTTTTAGCTGTAAACTTTAAGATGATCTGTTCCCCTTTAAGTTAAAAAAGGATGATGCTGCTTCCTTGTGGCGAAGGCTGTCAGGAACCCGCTGATCAATAAAAGTAAACTGGCGCCTCCACGGCTTGATTGAGTGGGAGCAAAGAGCCTGAGAAGTAGTCTCGGCCATTAACAATTCCCCAGATAACGAGAAATGGAAGAATTACTCAGGTAAAATGATTAACATTGCAGTGGCATTTAAAAAGATGCGCAAAACCAGATAAGAAGGCCGCTTACCTTGGGGAGTGCTAATAGAATGTCTATATTCTGCTGTCTTTTAAAGATAAATAGAAAAATTCAATTCATGTACAATGTCATTACCTTTGTAATAGCAATCACATTGTACAGGCATGTTCAGCATTTGCAAAGACAAACGTGCTCTTCGCTAAAGAGATGGAAGCGACTTACCTGCTTCTTGCTCGCTCGCTGTACTCATTCGAGGAGCCTTCCTTTCCAGGCAGAGCACCCCAAGTACTTCCAGCTATACGGAATCACTTTAACGGAGGCCCAGTATTAAGGTAGAGACGGGCATGTGCCTCTGCTTCCCTTCTGCATCATCACCCGCACGTTCAAAGTCGTAGTTACATTTTCCCTCTAAAAAAAAATAGCTATTTCTTCTCCTCCAGTCTATGTCTACTGATAATCCTAACACTATTCTCAGAATTTATTATTTTTTTCTAATAGACACATTTGATCATTATATATATTTTCCAAGAATGTTATTGAGTAAATGAGTGGCCGAAAACGCCTTCATGAGCAGGGATTTGTTAATCCAATAAAACTGTTCTGTGTGTAGATAATAAAAACAAAAAGAAAGTTCTCAGTTTCAGCTTCCTTTTACTTTAGTCCTGAAGGGAGCCCTGCCTCCTCATCCTCTTTAGAGACACAAGAGGGACATCTAGTGACCGTCTGCAGTATTTCTTTCTTTCTTTCTTTCTTTCTTTCTTTCTTTATTTTTAAATACATTTGTCTCTGCCTTCCCCCCCCCCCCTCTTTCCCTTGCCCCCTCCCACCTTCCCTCCCTCAGCTCTTCCCCTTTGGTTTTGTCCATGAGTCCTTGCTATATGTTCCTTGACTTTCCCCTTCCCTTCCCTTTCCCTGCCCCCCCTTCCCTCTTGTCTCTGTTGATTTCTTTTCCTTTCAGTGTTGCTGGTCATATTTGCCTTGCTTCTTTGC